ATCCGCCGCCATTGCCTCCCTTTGCTATGTACCTCTGCTACTGGTTGGGTCATGGCAACAGTGCCATAAACCCTTGGCTGTACGTCTTCTTGAGCTCAAGGCTCCGCCTGGCGTTTATCCGAATGGTAAAGAAGAAATTCAGTCGACCTGCAGGAAGAGTGCCTTTGAAGAAGACAGCGGCGACAACTAATCTCCTTACACCTGGAACACAGGTTGAGTCTTCTGTTTAATATGGAGAAATTTAAACCAAACTGACTATTGTAGATACAAATCTCATTAAAAAGTGTGAGAAATTCAGCAAAGTCAGCAACCCTAACCCATTCATTGCTTTGTCTCCATTTATTGGGACAAGTGGTGTACCCCCTTCATAACGATAATCTAGTGATATGATTTCTAAACGTGTCAGCTAAAGGGTTTACTAACTGATGAGGAAATTGCTATACAGCCAGGGAGGAATTTTACAATTTCTTCCCAGAATTTAAGCTTCAACCTGCAGCCAATAGAGTCAATAATTTCCTAAATTTGCAGCATAACATAATTATATTTTTTTTATTAAGGGTCAATATCATTTAGCTGCTTCAAACTCATTGAAGGAACTTAGCGTAATTAAATGGAGATTATAGTATGAACTGAGGTAGGGTACGTTTTCACTCGATATTTCGGTCAAGTGAATGTGAGCATATAGGTGCTCAGAGTTAAATGTAGTAAATACCTCTTTTTCTCGCTTTTCTGACTTAGTAAGAAATTTGTTTTGAGGTTGCAACTTACAGGACAATCTAATTTGATATAATTTGAAGATTTTCGAATAACCGTCATCTTGTAGCATTATTCAGTGTGTTAAAAAAACAGTTTTCACTTCCAACATATGAGTATCTTGGTTTTGTAGTGTCGTTTTGGATAGCCTTGTACATAAACATCGCTTTAACTTTATTGCGTTACTAAATAAGGGCAAGGGGAGGGGAGGGTGCCATAACAGCGTCTTACTAGCAGTTTTTTTCGGGGGGTACATCAAATTGCTCTATTATTATATATGATCACTTTTTCTTGGCAAAGCGGGGCTTTAAATTTTATTATGGCTTTATTCTTTTATTCTAATGGCGTTAAACTTAACTTAACATAATCAACCACTACCCACAAATAGGACAGCTAGTCTCTTGGATATATTTACAAGAGACAACACCAGTGGCCAGCCCGAGACCTGAGCAGAACTTAAGAAAAATCAAGGCGCACATTCTCATTCATATTGTTAAACCTTTTCTTCACATGCCCTAATTATTTCTAAAGAAGTTCAGGCATATGATCGTGCCATTTTTCACGATCTAATTTTTTTTAAGGAAAAAAAGAAGTGCTTAATATTTAACCTGATGATCATTATGAACTGATTCCCCAACCCAAACTAATTGCGTCACTCCACAACAATTTGTCTCTTTTTCCAACCGTTAAGAAACCCGATCATCGTTTTGATCGAACGAGCGACTTCCTTACCTCTCTAAATGTTCGAGTTAATATTTTTTTTAATATAATGATAACTATTGTCCTTATCCTCTGAAAAGAACTATCTTTCATACGTACTGAATGCAAATCAATATTTTCACTCCTAAGTATCGTATATAAGTATTAAATACCACTTGTAAGTTCCGCCTTTATTGGCGAAATAAGATCAAATGAGGTCTTAGCCTCTGCAACTTGTTATTCTCTAAGCGGGGAAAAGATGAGCTTTTCACCTTAGAATATAATCTATTTACAAAATTAGATGTCGCTTCCCTAAACCGGACATGGCTCTCTTTTGTCAACTTTTGACCCTCGTAATGAACAACCAGGCAATTCATATATCTGCTCCTTGGAAATGACGTTTGCCTTCGCTTTTCGCTCGATGTACAGAAGATATCCTACCGTTCCACTAGACCTCGAGAAAAAAGAAAAGCGGGTATATAATCAAGTTCAAGGTATTCGTAACTCATCAAGCTGAAGCTATTCTTTTCTCTCAATCTCGCGTCTGAGATCAATAACAGAAAAAACAGTATATACAGATTCATCATGGTAACAGACGAGGCCACAGTGATTTTGACCGTGATCTACGTGGTAACAGCGGTCGTTGCCTTTGCTGGGAACACGCGGTTTGAACTGCGGTTAAAGTAAAACAGCTCCCGGTTGGCTTGTTGCAAATATATGATTTTCATTTATTCACAAACGTAGACTCATCACTCCACGGGTTTATTACGAATCAACATAATGACCAGCTCTCAGTTGGCTTGTTAGCTCAGTTGGTAGAGCGCTGCACCTGTACAGGCCTGAATTTTTTCCAGGCCTTACTCTCGCTACGGCTTAAGTAGTGTTCATTACTGCGAAGATCGCTCCCATACTCATTTGCTTTAACCGCAGTTCAAATATATGATTTTCACATATTCACAAACTTTGAATCTCGCTTCTGAATCTCATCTCGTTTCGATTTCCTTCCTTCAATAACAGAAAAAAATAATATATCCAGATTCATCATGGTAACCGACGAGACGACAGCAATTTTGACCGTGATCTACGTGGTAACAATGGTCATTGCCTTTGCTGGGAACACGCTTCTGATATACTTCGTATGGAAGAAACCGGAAGTGAGATCAATGACCAGCTCTATGTTCGTAAACATGGCGGTGGCTGATTTGTTAATGACGCTGGTTGTAATGCCTTACTCCATTATTCACCTACACAATGGCGGCAAATGGCTTATAGTTCATAATGTGGCCGGGGAAATATCATGCAGAGGCTTCTATTTTGTCGCAATGGTCAGA